CAGAATTAGGAAACAGAATATCTAGAGCAGACTAATGCATTACCCCAAACTAGTATTTCTCAAACTTAGCAACTTTAAGATGTGCGGACTTCCAACTCTCAGAATTCTTCAGCCAGCATGCATTGCTGCATTGATGAAGCCTGACACTGTGATTTCTAAACTATAGTTTAGGCCTTAGTCTCAGGTGTGAATCCAATTATTGGCAATTTTAAAATAAATAATGTTATGAGTACAATGTGTAAACTTTGCAGGAAGGAGGACAACAAGGCAGAATTTGGTACTAGTTGCAGAATCTAACTTACCGTAATATAATAACAAGCAGATATGATAGAAGCAACTAAGGCTAGAGCAGCTGCTGATCCTACATCCTCCAACATCTTTTATTTTCTCTCCATTTAACTTTGCTCCAAGCTTTTTCTGCCCCATCTCTGTCAGATAGACTAGCTGTTCCAAGCTGGGATGGGTGATAAAACCTGAGGCTAACAACTAGGGACCAGCCAACATTCGCACAGCAAGTTTCATGGTTGAGTAAAAATTATAACCCAGCCAGCTGTAGTTGGTGTGCTCAAATAGGCCTAGCTGTACTTGGCAGATTTCTAGAAGCTAAGGTTTAGATCTGGTTGCAGTATGGATCAAAAACTACTACGAAGTAGGCTAGACTGAGAAGTTTAACAAAAATCCTATAAGAGAATGAGAAACTACTTCTATTGTATTGCCAAGAAAGCTACATGGATGGATTTCTCCCTAAGGTCGATGGAGATTAAGTCAGTTTTGGTGCTAAATACTATACCAGACAGCCTTGCCTTTGTGGGACTCGGATACAACAATAAAATGTATAACAATAAAACAATAAAATGTACAAATACATCAATGTATTTTGGAAATTTTAGTAATGGTGGAGCTGGCCCTACACAATATAAGGGGGAGCAGTTGAGGGAACACTACCACGTTCCCCAATTTAAAGTGCAAATATCAGTCATTTGGAAATTGATGCAGAAAATCTCACAAGGATTTTCCCCCATTGGCAAGAAATGTAATTAAATAAATAACCAGTCATTTACAATCCTTGTAACAGGCAGCTAACATGGCTTGATGTGAGTCCCAGCTTTATAGATTTTTCATAGTGTCATAAATGTTCTTTTCTCCTTGAAATCATTTCTAATAAAAATGATTGCTTCTAAATATTTGTTAATAATGTAACTCTCCAGCTTTTGCTGCAGCACAGAAGCTTGCCCTTATTTCAAGACCTGAAATCTCCCACATATTTCTTAAACAAAACATCTCTTCCAGATTTTATTCTCATTGATCTTATTGTCACTTTTTCTATTTAAAGGGACAGCTGCAAAATGTCCCTTGTCCCCTTTTCCAATAAAAAAACAAAAGACTTCTAGTTACCAGCCAACATTACACCTTTCTTTCCTGACTTTTAGAACCAAAGATTGAGAGCAGTTCTATTATACTACAGTCCTTGCACTGAATGACAGTACAGACTACCAAGTTTACACTGATACAAGAGTAATGTGGTACATCAGCAAATATTCAAATCAGTGTAAATGATTCCTTCCCCTCCCCCCCAATCCTCCTGTAGTCCTGATAAACTTTCTTAGAGAAGGTAGTTTATCTTTGAAATCTAGGACAAGTTAAACCACAAACTTATTCAACAATTCTAGTTATCTTGCCAAGGTTTTACAAAGAGCAGTTTTCTCTCCTGTCTTCTTAATTCTTCTTGCACCACACCACATTACTGGCCTCAATTCAAATACAGGTGGACTCTTCATTGCTCTTCCCACCATGATCTTGTGTCTCAACTGTTCCACCTCCTTGGGCACTTCGTCTGCTCTTGGTCTCAGTCCTTTCTCTCACTGGCATATGGGTTGATTTGTATTAAAGAGCTGTGGTGGCACAGTGGTTAGAATGCAGTACTGCAGGCTAACTTACTGCTCACTCCAGTAGTTCGATTCGAGCAGCTCAAAAGTTGACTCGGCCTTCCATCCTTCCGAGGTCGGTAAAATGAGGAACCAGATTGTAGGGAGCAATATGCTGACTCTGTAACTGCTTAAGAGGGCTGTAAAGCACTATGAAGTGGTATATAAGTAAGTGCTATTGCTATTGCTATTGCGGGACAGGATAGGGCTTTGTGCCCCATTCTGCTTCACTGGAGCCAAAGCTACAAGCAAGGAAAATAATAAAGGGGAATGACATCTATCTATCTATCTATCTATCTATCTATCTATCTATCTATCTATCTATCTATCTATCTATCTATCTATCTATCGCCACCCAACTCCAATAGAAATTGGATAGCAAAAAGGATAAAAAAAATCCATCAGAACAAAACATAAAACCACACAATAGTAAATACTAAAAGACAACATAGATGAAAACATAGCACTCCCCCGACTCCCACCCATACAGTAATGCATTAATCCCAGCCCTGAACCAAAGCCATTAAAAGCTTCCTAGAACCCAAGGAGAGGGCATTTTCAGGAGGAAAAGTGGCACTGTGCCAGAAAGAACCACCTTCCTTAGTCCTACAACATGATAATGTTTACTAGGTGGAACCTGAAGCACAACCAGATGAGCAGAAGCAATTGGACGCTTATCTCAGGAAAAGTGTTTTATCTCATCACTATAAAACTAATTCATTTTTCCTTTTTCAGGTTGCTTCATTGATCTAGTGAGTTCCTTTTTTCTTTTTTTTTTTGCTTCCTAGTCATTTCTTCCAGCCTTGCTCTGTTGTTGGCTCAAGCCTTGCTTGTATCTAGAAGAATCCCTGTACCTGTAGGTCCCCAGCTGTATCACTTGTGCCCCTCACTTCCACATCTTTTATATTCCTTTTCCCAAACATTGCTTTCAACTCTCTGAAGTGACCTTTCTCTCCCACCAGAAAGTCACAGTTCATATGTCCTTGCACTTTGCCTTCTAAAATACTCTGAATCTCATCCTGTGATCTCAATACCTTATTTTCCCTTTCTTCATCTTTGTATCTCTTATTCCTCTGTTATGCACCCACCCATCCAATTACAAAGTTATTACTTCCAGCATTTTGCTTTGTCTTCACTCATTTGTTTCACTTTATTGCAACCTCCTGAGTCCCAATAATGAGAGCTGTTGGCTACATTTATCTTGGGTTTCAGATAGTACCCTTAAGCATTTCTAATTCTTAGCAGTTTAAATAATTTGGCATTTATTCATTTTAAAAGTTGTTTCAACAGTTAGTCTCCTTAGGTCAGGAACTTTAGTCATGGTTTCCCCACAATTACAGACCTCATTTCCCATGGCCATGTTGGTTGGGGATGATGGAAGGGTTATGCCGCATCGCTGGTGCTTGTAATGGGCTCCACTATTATCAGTCCTTTTACTGCAGTAGCTGACTGGAATTATGTGGCATAGCAAAACTGGCATTATATAAGGAGAGTGGAAAATATATTAGTAAACAAATTCCACAGAAAAGTTAATGTGAGCCAGATTACAATAACATAGGTAGAACCGAAAAGTAAGAGGCCAAATTGCTAAGTTACTATAAAATATTGGTTTACTCAACTACTAAAATTGCTGAGATATACTAAGACATGAAATTATTTGTCCCATTCTTTGATGTTGGGCCATTCTTGGTGCAAGTACAACTGCTTCACCAGCAAAATGGATTCAGCTCTCACTCGCCGGAAAGAGGTAATGAAAAGAGCAGTGAAATGAGGTTGCAGGCTAGCCAGCCCTAAGCTCACTCATCTCCAGACATACCTAGAGATTGGAGCATCTGTGGTAGTCCTCTAGGCCCACATGTTAGCCAGCGGGTTGCTGTTACATTGAGCAGAGCTTTTCCTCCAGGCCTAGAGTATGCTGTACCTTGAGTGCAGTTAGTCATGGCCTCTGCTCTGTATGTTCATGGTCCAATTCTCACAACAGCAGGTCAGTGGAAAATTTTCCTAACTTGTTCCACTGTTGACAGGCCTCTTTTCCCCAGCAGGAAAGAAAAACAGTAAAGAGAGGATGGTTTTTCTAGCGCATAAATGGCCTGCAGCCTTAAACAATCTCTTTTTTCCTCTCTCCCTCCCCGCTACCAACGCAGCCTCTCTTCCAAATCAGATTAAAATAGTTTTTGCTTGCCTTTTAAAATAGAAACCTTTTTCTTGACTTCCATGTGCCCTCCTCTAGTTTATTTATTTAAGGCTTCTCTGGTAAATGAGGAAAGAGACTGAAACTTTTCTCTTCTGTGAAGTCCTTCATGCTCTCTGAGCTTGGTTGTTTCCTTGAAGATGTTTCATTATCAAGCTAGGTAACATCATTAGAAATGAGGAGAAGGAGAAATGGGTTGAGTTTCTGTTTTGACCATTCCCCTAAAGCACTGCCTTCAGTTCCTTTTGGGAATTCTCCAGAAAAAAATGTGATGATTGAAGAGAAAGGCAAAAATGAAGTTTATGAAGTATAAGAGGCTCAGTTTGATGTAGTAGTTAAAGCACCAGCTGGAAACCAGGAGATTGTGGTTCTAGTCCCACCTTAATCACAAAGCCAACTGGGTGATCTGGTCCATCATTTTCTCCCAGTCCTAGGAAGAAACCAAGGGCAAACCATTTCCAAAAATCTTGCCAAGAAAACTGTATGGACTAGTCCAGGCAGCTGATAGGAATCATGGTGGTGCATTGGTTAGAATGCAGTATTGGAGGCTAATTCTGCTTACAGCCTGGAGTTTGATCCTGATTGGCTCAAGGTTGACTCAGCCTTCTATCCTTCCAAGATTGGTAAAACCAGGACCTAAATTGTTGAGGGCAATATGCTGACTCTGTAAACCATTTAGAGAGGGGTGTAAAACACTATGAAATGGTATATAAGTCTTAGATGCTATTGCTATTGTTATTTGAAAGCACAAAATCCATTAAGTATATTGAATATTTCATCACTTCCAGTGGATTCTGGGCAAAGTTCATGGTGCTAATATAATATGCCTTCCTCCCCAATGACTGCTGTTATTTCTTCTCTTTTTCTTTCCCCTTGCCTGATAGTTACAAAGGTTCAAACGCTCTCTGTCACTCAAGACCATCCTGCGCAGCAAGAGCGTGGAGAACTTTTTTCTGCGCTCTGGTAATGAGTTCAAGCTGCCCTCCGATGTCCTGCTCAGCCCTCCTGATTCCATGCCACCCCCCTCTCCACCCCCAGTTTCCACTGAAACAGAAACCTCCCCCAGAGCCCTCCACAAGTCCCTGGGGACCCTCAAGCCCATGAAGACCCACAGTTTCCAGGAACACATCTTCAAGAAACACAATCCTTGTGAAATTTGCCATCAGCTTATTGTAGGTAAGCAATTGGATGCCTTGTTTCCCCAGCTTCTTGATAATGTTTGCTAGTTCTTGTCATGCACACTCAGGGGCTGAATTCTGATAATTCTTTTTCTATCCATGTCTGGATTACCTTAAACTCTAAATCCTAAGCTACTGCCAAATCAGGATAGCCTTCCTCCTTTTCCTCAAATAGATTTACATTTAATAAGGATTAGGCATTGATTCTAGATGAAGCTTGGAAAAATATGCATTAACAGAAGTTGGCTGTTGATGTATCTCATCGGCTTGAGTGGAGCTTGCAGTGAAAGAATAAAACAGCTGGAGCACAGCCAATGAAGCAGCAAGGAGATGCCCCCAAGCCTGATTTTTCTTTTTCTTTTTTAAGCAGGCTAGCAACAAGCAATTGGAGGTGGGTGGAAGCTTTATAGCTTAATAGTTTAATTTCTTTTGCTGGCCAGCATTGTTTGTTTAGATTGGAAGTTATGATGGCCGTTAAGTGAAGCACCCATGTGTTCGTCTCATGTGAGATAATAAAAGCCCAGTCTAGCACAATACCAACAAAGAAGAAAAATAACAGCTCTCAAAAGAAACCAGCATGGCTGCATAAAGAACTCTCTGATAAATTGAAAGATAAAAAGGACAAGTATAGAAAGTGGAAAGAGGGGCACATAACTAAGACAGAAATATCAGCAAGTAGCCCAAGCCTGCAAAGATGAAGTGAGGAAAGTTAAGGCTCAAAATGAACTCAGGCTTGCGACCAAAGTCAAAAATAACAAAAAAAAAGCTTCTTTCAACATGTAAAAAACAAGAAAAAAGTAAAGGAAATGATTGGTCCATTAGTCGGGGAAAGTGGCAAGAAGGTGACAAGCAACAGGGAGAAAGCAGAACTATTTAACTCGTTTTTTGCATCTGTCTTTACACAAAGGGAAAAAACAGATCAACCTATCAAAAATAGTGCCATAAAAAACAGAATAGAAACACAAGTTAAGATAGGCAAGAAAATGGTAAGTGAGCACCTGTCCAGCCTAGACGAGTTCAAATCACCAGGACCAGATGGATTACACCCCAAGGTTCTCAAGGAACTGGCAGATGTGATCTCAGAACCACTGAACTATATTTTTCAAAGATCCTGGAGCA